TATTATTATTATTATTATTATGTTGATGGCCAGAAAAGGGTTGGACTAGATGGCCCATGTTGTCTCTTCTAATTCTATTTATTATTATTATTATTATTATTATTGTCATTATTATTATTATTGTTATTATTATGGCCAGAAAAGGGTTGGACTAGATGGCCCATGGGGTCTCTTCTAATTCTATTTATTATTATTATTATTATTATTATTATTAATTATTATTATTATTGTTATTATTATGGCCAGAAAAGGGTTGGACTAGATGGTCCATGGGGTCTCGTCTAATTCTGTTTATTATTATTATTATTATTATTATTATTATGGCTGGATGGCCATCTGTCAGGGGAGGTTTGATTGTGCTTTTCCTGCATAATGGCAGAAAGGGTTGGACTAGATGGCCCATGGGGTCTCTTCTAATTCTATTTATTATTATTATTATTATTATTGTTATTGTTATTCATTATTATTATTATTATTATTATTATTATTATTATGTTGATGGCCAGAAAAGGGTTGGACTAGATGGCCCATGTTGTCTCTTCTAATTCTATTTATTATTATTATTATTATTATTATTATTGTTATTATTATGGCTGAATGGCCATCTGTTAGAGGAGGTTTGATTGTGCTTTTCCTGCATAATGGCAGAAAGGGTTGGACTAGATGGCCCATGGGGTCTCTTCTAATTCTATTTATTATTATTATTATTATTATTATTGTCATTATTATTATTATTATTATTGTTATTATTATGGCTGAATGGCCATCTGTTAGAGGAGGTTTGATTGTGCTTTTCCTGCATAATGGCAGAAAGGGTTGGACTAGATGGCCCATGTTGTCTCTTCTAATTCTATTTATTATTATTATTATTATTATTATTATTATTATTATTATGGCTGAATGGCCATCTGTTAGAAGAGGTTTGATTGTGGTTTTCCTGCATAATGGCAGAAAGGGTTGGACTAGATGGCCCATGGGGTCTCTTCTAATTCTATTTATTATTATTATTATTATTATTATTATTTATTATTATTATTATTATGGCTGGATGGCCATCTGTCAGGGGAGGTTTGATTGTGCTTTTCCTGCATAATGGCAGAAAAGGGTTGGACTAGATAGATAGCCCATGGGGTCTCTTCTAATTCTAATTCTTATTCTTATTATTATGGCCAGAAAAGGGTTGGACTAGATGCCCCATGTGCTCTCTTCTAATTCTATTTATTATTATTATTATTATTATTATTATTATTATTATTATTATTATTATTATGTTGATGGCTGGATGGCCATCTGTCAGAGGTGCTTTGATTGTGCTTTTCCTGCATAATGGCAGAAAGGGTTGGACTAGATGGCCCATGGGGGTCTCTTCCAATTCTATGCTTCAAAGTTGGGTCAAACTACATAGTTTCCTGACCGAGCGAGAAATGGCATAATGGCAGAAAAGGGTTAGACTAGATGGCCCATGGGGTCTCCAGAGTCTCCATCCGAAGCTCAAACCCTTCTCTTCGGCTGCATCTGCATTGTAGAATGAATGCAGTTTGACCCCACTTTTCACTGCCGTGGCTCAAGGGTGATGATGGAATCCTGGAAACTGCATCTTGGTCAGCCAGAGAAGCCTCAGGACCTTGTAAAGCTACATCTCCCAGGATCTCATAGTTTTGAGCTAAAGCGAGGTCCAACTGCATGGGTTCCAGAGTGTAGCTTCACCTTGAACTTCCTGATGTTCTTCTGGAAATTGATGTTCTTCTGGAAGTGACCTGGGCATACTTGGAAACACCTTGCAGGTGTTTTGGACTGCAACTCCCACCATTCCTGGCCTCAGGCCCCTTCCTTTTCCCCCTCAGCCGCTTAAGGAAAGGGCCTGAGACCAGGAATGGTGGGAGTTGAAGTCCAAAACACCTGGAAGGAGGACCAAACCTTGCCCAGGCCTGATCTCAACCCTCCTGACAGATGTCCATCCAGCCTCTTCTTCACAACCTCCAGAGAAGGAAAGAGACTTGGTTGGACTGCCATATTCTGCTGCCATCTAGATCTGACCCTCAGGAAGTTCTTCCTGATGTTTAGGTGGCATCTCCTTCCCTGCCATTGTCCGTATCCCTCTCCCTCTGGACATCCTTGACCATCTCCTCCTGGGATTGTTCTGGCCATACCAGGACTCGGTGTTCTTCCAGGCGGGGGAGAGGCCGTGGCCAGGGCTTGACCTAGAAGAAGGAAGACCGTCTCCGTGTCCTGGCTGCGGTGCCAAGGCCAACAGCAGCCCTGTCCATCCGGTCAGCCAAAGGAGATGGTCTAATGCTCTTGGCGTTGGCCCTGTTTAGCTTGGAGGAAAGGAGGCGGAGAGAAGGGAACACGAGAGCCTTGTCTCAATATCTGGAAGGACATCACGTTGAGAAGTAAAGGAAGGGGCAATCTGGTTTTCTCCAGCTCCGGAGATGAGGACACAATGGAGAAATGGATGCCGATGGCCTCGGAGTTTGTCTAAATATTAGGAAAGACCTCCAGGTGGTCAGAGCTGCTCTGAGTGAAGAGAGGGGCCCAGGAAGACAGGTCCACCTTGACTCCTCCGCTCTGCTAATCTCTATAGAAGTATACATGCTCCGTGCGTCATGAGTGCTTTCAAAACAAAAGAACCAATGAACCAAATCACACCAAATTTGGCCACAAAACGCCTCACAGCACAAGGAGTGACCATCACTCATGTGACAAACAGAAAATACTGGAACGGTTTGATGGGCATTGACCTTGAGTTTGGGAGTTGTGGCTCACCTATATCCAGGTAGAGCACTGTGGACTCAAACAAGGATGGATCTGGACCAAACTCTACACGAATACTCAATGTGCCCAAATGTGAACACTGGTGGAGTTTGGGGAAAATAGAATCTTGACATTGGGGAGTTGTAGTTGCTGGGATTTGTAGTTCACCTACAATCAAAGAGCATTCTGAACCCCACCAGTGGTGGAATTGAACCAAACTTGGCACACAGTTCTCCCATGACCAACAGAAAATACTGGAAAGGTTTGGTGGGTAGTGTCCTTTGGTTTTGGAGTTGTAGTTCACCCACATCCAGAGATCACTGTGGACTCAAACAATGATGGATCTGGACCAAACTCTACACAAATACTCAATATGCCCAAATATGAACAGTGGTGGAATTTGGGGAAAATAGAATCTTGCCATTTGGGAGTTGTAGTTGCTGGGATTTATAGTTCACCTACAATCACAGAGCGTTCTGAACCCCACCAACGATAGAATTGGGCCAAACCTCCCACACAGAACCCCCATGTGGGCCACAGCAATACATGACAGGGGACAGCTAGTAGTACAATATAGTAATAATACTAATATTGTGCTATGGTAATAATATCATATATTGTATTTACATAGTACTTGTAACCCACTCTGAGTCCCCTTCGGGGTGAGAAGGGAGGCATAGAAATGCCGCAAATAAATAAATAAATGGACAATGGAATGAGTATGCTGCCTGGGTGTCCCATGGAGTCTCTTTCTCTGGAGGTCTTTAATCAGAAGCTGGATGGCCATCTGTAGGGAGAGCTTGGATGGTGTCTTCCTTATGGCAGAAGGGGGATGGACTAGATGGCCTCTGGGGGTCCCTTCCAACTCTTAAAATTCTATTATGATTTTTATTGTTCAGAGGCTGGGTGGGCATCTGTAGGGAGGGATTGCATGGCACCTTCCTTGTGGCAGAAGGGGGATGGACTGGACTGGATGGCCTCTGGGAGTCTACCTGGAACTACCTGGAAGCCTGATAATAAGTGATGTTTGACTCATTTATGCTTGGGGGAGCCTCCTTCAGGTTGTTAATCAGAGGTTGGGTGGTCATCTATGGGGAGGGCTTGGGTAGTGTCTTCCTTCCTGGCAAAAAAAAAGGGGGGGGGGTTGGACTGGATGGCCCTTGAACTTCCAACTCTGAGATACCATCATTCTGTTGTTGTTGTTATTTGAAGTACAACAAGATGAGTCCACAGCAGACACTCTGCTGGCTGTTGTGTTGGATCACACGATGGACACTTCCCAAGTGTTGTTGTTGTTGTTGTTGTTGTTTGAAACACAACAAGATGAGTCCACAGCAACCAAGATTATTATTTAATCCTAGAATCCTAGAGTTGGAAGAGACCTGGTGGGCCATCATCCAGTCCAACTCCATTCCTCCAAGAAGCAGGAAAATCACCTTCAAAGCACCCCCAACAGATGGCCATCCAGCCTATGCTTCAAAGCCTCATGTTATTATTAAGCAGAGGCTGTATGTCCATCCATCAAGAAGGTTTGGATGGTGCCTTCCTGCCTGTCTGGATGGCCTTTGGGGATCCCTTCCGACTCTGAGATTCTATTATTATTATTATTATTATTATTATTATTATTATTATTATTATTATTGATAGGCTAGATGGCCATTTGTTGGGAGGGCTTGGATGGAGTCTTCCTGCTTCTCAGAGACACCATCCAAGCCCTCGCAACAGATGGCCATCCAGCCTCTGCTTCAAAGCCTCATGTTATTATTAAGCAGAAGTTGTATGTCCATCTATCAGGAAGGTTTGGATGGTGCCTTCCTGCCGGTCTGGATGACCTTTGGGGATCTTTTCTGACTCTGAGATTCTATTATTATTATTATTATTATTATTATTATTATTATTATTATTGATAGGCTGGATGGCCAACTGTTGGTAGGGCTTGGATGGTGTCTTCCTGCTTCTCGGAGGGGGGTTGGATTGGATGGCCTCTGGGGGCCCCTTTGAGAAGCAGGAAGACACCATTCAAGCCCTCCCAACAGATGTTATTATTAAGCAGAGGTTGCATGTCCATCTATCAGGAAGGTTTGGATGGTGCCTTCCTGCCTGTCTAAATGGCCTTTGGAGGTCCGTTTCGATTCTGAGATTATGTTGTTGTTGGTGGTGTTGTTATTGATAGGCTAGATGGCCATCTGCTTCTCAGAGGGGGGCTGGACTGGATGTCCTCTGGGGGCCCCTTCTTATCACTCTATGTTGTTTCTCTCTTGCAGGCCTTGGCCATGGTGGCCTTAGTGCAGTCCTGGAGTGGACCTTGGACGTTCCCCTCTAGAGATGAGCCTCCTTCTCATGCATGGGCCTCTGTTGCCGGGAGTGACTGACCGCTGACCCAGGATGCCCATGTGCCGCTGACCAGCCCAGCCTTGCTCCTGCTCCTCCTTGAGGCTGCCCGCCCGCCCGCCCTCCGCCATGCCGGCGGCTCCCACCTTTGGGGTGGCGGACTACGCCATCTTTGTTTTGCTGCTGGTGCTCTCGGCGGGTATCGGGCTCTACCATGCGCTGAGCGGGGGCAAGCAGAGCACGGTGCAGGAGTTCCTGCTGGCCGACCGTAGCATGGGCTTCTTGCCGGTGGCCCTCTCCCTGCTGGCCACCTTCCAGTCGGCCGTGGCCATCCTGGGCGTGCCCGCCGAGATCTACCGCTTTGGCACCGAGTACTGGTTCCTGGGCTGCTCCTACTTCCTCGGCCTCCTCATCCCCGCACACGTCTTCATCCCCGTCTTCTACCGACTGCGCCTCACCAGCACCTATGAGGTTCGGAAGTGGGGGACCGCGCCAACCAGGGCCCTCCCTCCAGGTGGTTTGGACTCCAACTCCCACCATTCCTAACAGCCGGAGTCCAAAACACCTGGAGGGAGGGAGGGAAGTTGGCCCAGGCCTGCTCTCAATTAAAGGTTGTCCTCATTCCAGGATTAATGCATGCAATGAATTCCAATATGCTGATGATAACGTACTCTGTGCACGTTCAGAAGACTTACAACATCAGTTATAGAAGTCTAATATGCTGATGATAATGGGAGTTGGAGTCCAAAACACCTGGAGGGAGGGAGGGAAGGAGGGCCCAAGTTGGCCCAGGCGTGCTCTAAATTGAAGGTTGTCCTCATTCCAGGATTAATACATGCAATGAATTCCAATGTGCTGATGATAACGTACTCTGTGCACGTTCAGAAGACGTACAACATCAGTTATAGAAGTCCAATATGCTGATGATAATGGGAGTTGGAGTCCAAAACACCTGGAGGGAGGGAGGGAAGGTGGGCCCAAGTTGGCCCAGGCCGGCTCTCAATTAAAGGTTGTCCTCATTCCAGGATTAATGCATGCAATGAATTCCAATATGCTGATGATAATGTACTCTGTGCACGTTCAGAAGACGTACAACATCAGTTATAGAAGTCTAATATGCTGATGATAATGGGAGTTGGAGTCCAAAACACCTGGAGGGAGGGCCCAGGTTGGCCATGCCTGTCCTAGAGGGTCACCTGTCACGTAACCTCCATTCATTGACCCCCATTCTCTTCCCCCATTCTCAACACCCCCCAGTACCTGGAGCTGCGCTTCAACAAAGTGGTGAGGATCTGCGGGACGGCCACCTTCATCTTCCAGATGGTGAGTGAATTCGGGGAGGGGGGGGGTTCTGTCCCACCTGCATTTGGGGAAGGGAAGGGTATTGCTAGACTGTAAATTGTATTAGAATGCTCTTAATGTAAGTCAATAAACATAATAATAACAATAATAATAATAATAATAATAATAATAATAATAATAATAATAATTTATTTCCTTCATTTATAACCCTTAGCAAACTCCTTCTTTCAACATTCTCAGTTGCCTCTCTGAAACTTTTTCTGTACTGTCAGGCTTTTCTTTTGCCTATCAAAAGGCTAGCAGAGAGAGACCTATAAGAGAGCTAACCCTTCATTCCGCCTTCCTCCTGTTCTGAATTCTGCAACATAAGAAAAAGCTATTGTGAGTTTTTGGGGCTGTAAATTGAACTCTTGAGATTAGAGCAATTTTTTAAAAAAAAAGAAAAGAAAAGAGGGGCAATTCAGAGGGGAAAACAAGTCTTTACTGTGTGATGGCAAATCAAATGGATAAATCTTAAAGAAAGCAGAGAGAAAGATTAGTGTGATCATAGAATCCTAGAATCCTAGAGTTGGAAGAGACCTCCTGGGCCCTCATCCAGTCCACCCCCATTCTGCCAAGAAGCAGGAATATTGCATTCAAAGCACCCCTGACAGATGGCCATCCAGCCTCTGCTTAAAGCTTCCAAAGAAGGAGCCTCCACCACACTCCGGGGCAGAGAGTTCCACTGCTGAACGGCTCTCACAGTCAGGAAGTTCTCAAAATCCTAGAATCCTAGAGTTGGAAGAGACCTCCTGGGCCCTCATCCAGTCCAACCCCATTCTGCCAAGAAGCAGGAATATTGCATTCAAAGCACCCCTGACAGATGGCCATCCAGCCTCTGTTTCAAAGCTTCCAAAGAAGGATCCTCCACCACACTCCGGGGCAGAGAGTTCCACTGCTGAACGGCTCTCACAGTCAGGAAGTTCTCAAAATCCTAGAATCCTAGAGTTGGAAGACCTCCTGGGCCCTCATCCAGTCCAACCCCATTCTGCCAAGAAGCAGGAATATTGCATTCAAATCACCCCTGACAGATGGCCACCCAGCCTCTGTTTCAAAGCTTCCAAAGAAGGATCCTCCACCACACTCCGGGGCAGAGAGTTCCACTGCTGAACGGCTCTCACAGTCAGGAAGTTCTCAAAATCCTAGAATCCTAGAGTTGGAATTGACCTCCTGGGCCCTCATCCAGTCCAACCCCATTCTGCCAAGAAGCAGGAATATTGCATTCAAAGCACCCCTGACAGATGGCCATCCAGCCTCTGTTTAAAAGCTTCCAAAGAAGGAGCCTCCACCACACTCCCTCCGGGGCAGAGAGTTCCACTGCTGAACAGCTCTCACAGTCAGGAAGTTCTTCCTCATGTTCAGGTGGAATCTCCTGCCTTGTGGTTTGAAGCCGTGGCTCCACTGCGTCCTAGTAAATAAAAACAAGCTTGCTCCCTCCTCCCTAGGACTTCCTCTCACATATTTATACATGGCTATCATATCTCCTCTCAGCCTTCTCTTCTTCAGGCTAAACATGCCCAGCTCCTTAAGCCGCTCCTCATAGGGCTTTGTTCTCCAGACCCTTGATCATTTGAGTCGCCCTCCTCTGGACACATTCCAGCTTGGAGTCAATATCTCTCTTGAATTGTGGTGCCCAGAATTGGACACAATATTCCAGGTAAAGTGGTCTAACCAAAGCGAAATAGAGGGGTAGCCTCACCAAACTTCAAATCCCAGGATTTCATTGCATGCCAAATCCCATTGGCTTTTTTTGCCGCCACATCACATTCCTGGCTCATGTCTTCCCACGAGGACTCCAAGATCCTTTTCACACGTCCTGCTCTCGAGCCAGGCATTGTCCCCCATTCTGTCTCTTTGCATTTCGTTTTTCCTGCCAAAGTGGAGTCCCTTGCATTTGTCCCTGTTGGACTTCATTGTGTTAGTTTTGGCCATTCATCTCTCTCATCTGTGAAGATGGGCTGCATCCCAGCTCCTGAAGGGATCCCCTTTTCTCCTCCTCTCTCCTTCTGAAGCCTTCAAACTGCAGAGACTACGATTTTGCAAGTGTGAACTGCATGAGAATAGAGTTTTGAGAAAGTGAAAGAAGGCAGGTGGGAGTGAAGGTGGGGAAAAGGTAGCCTTGCCAGGCACAGAGGGAGACAAGACTGGTAACCAAGTATGGGCCTTTTTAGCCATAAGATAACTAACAAAGTGGTAATTAGGTTCTTGTGGGTTTTTTCGGGCTATAGAGCCATGTTCTAGAGGCATTTCTCCTGACGTTTCGCCTGCATCTATGGCAAGCATCCTCAGAGGTTGAGAAGGTCCATAGATGCATGCAAAATGTCAGGAGAAAAATGCCTCTAGAACATGGCCATATAGCCCGAAAAAACCTACAACAGATTAGTGATTCCAGCCATGAAAGCCTTCAACAATGCAAAAATAGTCATAACTTAGTATGTATCCGGATTGTTTTGGAACAGAGAGGAGCGGAGAATGGAAGGATGGCGCTGGGAGGGAGGGGTGAAGGAAAGGGGGAAAGGGACCCCCAAGGCAGGAAGGAGAACAGCTGATTATTGGTCCAGTTCAAGGTCAGTCTGGAGGAGGATGACACGGGGGGGGGGGGGGGGCATATGACTCCTTGGCTCATCAGAATGGCCTGGGAGAGATATGAAAACGAGCAGTTCATAAAATAATATAGGAAGGCAGGATTGTTTTGGAACAGAGAGGCAACAAAGGAAGGACAGAAGGGAGGAGAATTGGAAAGGAGGGAAAGGAGGAGAGGTTTTTGGGGGTGTGTGTGTGTGTGTGTGCATTCATCAACCTTGCAAAGGCATTCGACACCGTGAATCGCAGCGCTCTCTGGACCATCCTCCAAAAAATTGGGTGCCCTGACAAATTTGGGAACATCCTGCGGCTCCTCCACGATGACATGATGGCAACAGCCTTGGATAGCCATGGCTCCCAAAGTGACCCATTTAAAGTGAATCGGGTGTCAAACAGGAATGATGTGTTATTGCCCCAACTCTATTCTCCATCTTCATCGCTATGATACTTCACCTTGTTGATGGGAAGCTTACCACTGGAGTGGAAATCATCTATCGGACAGATGGCAAGCTATTCAACCTCAGCAGACTGAAAGCCAAAACCAAGGTCACAACAACATCTGTTATAGAACTCCAGTATGCTGATGACAACGTCTTTTATGCGCATTCAGAAGAAGACCTACAAGCCACTCTAAACACCTTTGCAGAAGCATACGAAGAGCTCGGCCTGTCATTGAACATTGGAAAAACCAAAGTGCTGTTCCAGCAGTCACCAGCCAACCCCTCTCCAATGCCAGAGATACAGCTTAATGGTGTAACATTAGAAAATGTTGACCATTTCCGCTCCCTTGGCAGCCACCTCTCCACCAAAGTCAACATCGACACCGAAATACAACACCGCCTGAGCTCTGCGAGTGCAGCATTTTCCTGAATGAAGCAGAGAGTGTTTGAGGACCGGGACATCCGTAGGGAGACCAAGGGTCTTGTTTATAGAGCTATTCCCCTCCCAGCCTTGCTATATGCCTGCAAGACGTGGACTGTCTACAGACGTCAACATTGAGACTGAAATACAACACCACCTGAGCTCTGCGAGTGCAGCATTTTTCCGAATGAAGCAGAGAGTGTTTGAGGACCGGGACATCCGTAGGGATCAAGGTGCTTGTTTATAAAGCTATTGTCCTCTCAACCCTGCTATACGCCTGTGAGACGTGGACTGTCTACAGACGTCACATGCAACTCCTGGAACTATTCCATCAGCGCTGCCTCCGGAAAATCCTGCAAATCTCTTGAGAAGACAAGCAGGGAAACGTCAGCATGCTGGAAGAAGAAGCAAAGACCACCAGCATTGAAGCGATGGTCCTCCGCCATCAACTCCGCTGGGCCAGCCACGTTGTCCGGATGCCTGACCACCGTCTCCCAAAGCAGTTGCTCTACTCCAAACTCAAGAACGGAAAACGGAATGTTGGCGGACAGGAAAAGAGATTGAAAGATGGGCTCAAAGCCAACCTTTAAAATTCTGGCATAGACACTGAGAACTGGGGAGCCCTGGCCCTTGAGCGTTCCAGTTGGAGGTCAGCTGTGACCAGCAGTGCTGCAGAATTTGAAGAGGCATGATTGGAGGGTGAAAGAGAGAAACGTACCAAGAGGAAGGCGTGTCAAGCCAACCCCGACCTGAAAACGAATGCCCTCACTGTGGAAGAACATGCAGGTCAAGAATAGGGCTCCACAGCCACCTATGGACCCACCAGGACACTGACCGTGGAAGACAATCCTACTTGGACAACAAGGGATCGCCTCAGTAACGTATCGCTCTTTCTCTTGCATCCTGTTGTGGCTGAGCTAGTTTCTGACGATGAGGATGATGGGATTCAGATTCCTGTTGGGTTTCAGCTTCCTAGCTCTTCGTCTGTGCCTCAGATTTCTGAGCCTGCTTCTGAGGTTCTCACAGACAATGCAGTGCCAACATAGCTGTTTTCACCAGAAAGGAATTTTAACAAAGGAAATAGCAGCCAGGTGCCTTCTCACGATGATACCAAAAGTTTAGATAGTGACTTGACCCAAGAAGCTCGCCTTGATCTCCGGGTCAGGCGCAGTTCACGTCTGGCAAGCAGACGGGAGGCTAGCTCGGTGAAAGGTCGTCGCAATGCTTTTATGATGCTGAGAGCCTAATGTTTTGATGTTGGGAAGGTATTTAGGCCCTCTGGAAACTCTGTGAAAGTGTCAGTTCAACGTAGCTTATTAGCCTGAAAGCTTCATGGAATAACCTTAGCCTGGAAAGCAGTACGCTTGGGATTTCTTGCATTGCGATTCTTGGGGCAAATGTTTCCTTGCTTGTACCTGGGTCTCTGGTTTGAACTTTGCCAATAGGATTGTGTCTCCTGCTTTTACCTGAAGATCTTTGGAACTGTATTCTGCATTTAACCTTAATCTTTGGAATTTTGCAATGCTTACTCTTTATTTTGACTTGGATTTTTTCCTCAATAAACTGTAAAACTACAGCTCCTGTGTGGTGGTGTTTGGCAGCAAGGTGAAGCCTACTCTGAGCTGCAACACATCCTCCCCTCATTGTAGTTCTGCAGATTACATTCCCTCCCCTTGGGTCTGATGGGAAATACGCGCTAGAGATTTCTGGGGCACCGAGCCTCAACAGCACCCCTCAACCTGGCCTTGGTCCCCCAAAGGGAGTCACTCCCGCCTCCCCTCGCCTTGGCCTTCCTCGCAGGGCCCTTGTGCGGAGGAACCTGGAGCATCTTGAGAACCTTGAGTCGCCGATAGATTGAGAAAGGTGGTATCCAAATACAGTAAATCAATCAATCAATCAATCTTCAGAGGCAGAATGGACTCCAAAAGTGCAATGGGTTGAGAAAGGTGGTATCCAAATACAGTAAATTAATCAATCAACCAATCAATCCATCTTCAGAGGCAGAATGAACTCCAAAAGTGGGCTCTTTCCTCCTGAGTGAGCCCACCAACTCTTTCCTTTTCTCTCCCGGCAGGTGGTCTACATGGGGGTGGTCCTCTACGCCCCGGCACTGGCCCTCAACGCAGGTGAGTCGGGCCCTGACCCTGGGGCCTCGCAGGAGGGACCCTTGGATGGACACTCAAGCAACGGGTCAAGGAGAGGAGAAGTGGGGGTGGGGTGGGGTCCCCCTCTCCCGTTGGGAGGGCCACTCAGCACCTGGTCTCCCCACCCCACCCCACCCACATCCTTTCCTGGAGTGTGTAATCTCCCTGGGGCAGAGCAGAGTGCCGCTCTGCGTCCACCAAGTGCAGGTGCTTCTCCCCTCCCTCCGTGTCTTGGCTGCAGTGACCAAGTTTGACCTCTGGATCTCCGTCCTGACCATCGGCCTGGTCTGCACCCTCTACACAGCCCTGGTGAGTGCGTTGGGGGAGCGGCATGGGGCCCTTCCGGACCCCCACCAAGGCCCGTCTTCCCTTCTGGCGTTCTGGGGGGTGGTGGAGGCCTCCCCTGTTATGTTACCCCCCAACTGACCCTCAACCTCCCCATTTCCCCACCCCCTCCTTTTCAGGGCGGCCTGAGGGCCGTGATCTGGACAGACGTCTTCCAGACCTTTGTGATGTTTGCGGGGCAAGTGGCCGTGATCGTGGTGGGGACCATCAAGGTGGGCGGCATGGGGCGCGTCTGGAAGCTGGCGGCCGAGGAGGGAAAAGTGTCCGGCATCGAGTGAGTGCGACCCCGTGACCCTTCTCATGCCTCACCCCCTTGACCCCCATCAAGACCCCATTGCTCCCCTCAATACCCCTCTCTTTGTTTCGTTGCCACATATTTAAAAGGCAATAATTAAAGGTGGGAGACAGGCTTGCGGGGATAATAATAATAATAAATTAATAATAATATATTATTATTATTTATATTGTTGTTATTATTAGTAATAATAATAATAAAGCTGACACGATACGAGGATTTAAAGATCAAACTGCAAAGACTCTTGTCACAAGCCAGTCAAGGTGGTCCCAGTGGTGATCGGCACACTGGGTATAGCGCCTAAAGACCTTGGCCTGCACTTAAACACAATCAGCACTGACAAAATCACCACCTGTCAACTGCAAAAGGCCACCTTACTGGGATCTGCATGCTTTATTAGATGATGCATTACACTTGGGAAGGGTCCGACGTGTGATCCAATACAACAAGCAGCAGAGTGACCTTTTTTTACTGTATACTAACCTTGTTGTGTTTCAAATAATAATAATAGCTTACACAATATGAGGATTTAAAGACTGAATTGCAAAGACTGTGGCACAAGCCAGTCAAGTTGGTCCCAGTGGTGACTGGCACACTGGGTGCAGTGCCTCAAGACCTTGGCCTGCACTTAAAAACAATCAGCTGAAAAAATTACCACCTGTCAGCTGCAAAAGGCCACCCTACCCGGATCTACACGCATTATTTTCCGATACATCACACAATCCTAGACACTTGGGAAGGGTCCGACCTGTGATCCAGCTCAACAGCCATCTTGGACTCATCTTGTTGTGTTTCAAATAATAATAATAATAATAATAATAATAATAATAATAATATCCGAAGTGTGATCCAAGACAACAGCCAGCAGAGTGACCTTGTTTGCTGTGGTCTCATCTTATTGTGTTTATAATAATAATAATAATAATAATAATAATAATAATAATAATGTCCGACGTGTGATCCAAGACAACAGCTAGCAGAGTGATCTTGACTGCTGTGGAGTCATCTTGTTGTGTTTCTAATAATAATAATAATTATTATTATTATTATTATTTTATTTCTCACCTCCTCATGGCTCAAGGTGGGTTACAGAATTATTAAAATACATAAACAATGTAATGATGCTACTACAAACACACATAGTAAGACATATTTCTATAAAATACATATTAAAATACACACAGTTGGGATTTTGGGCTGTCTGGGTCATTCATAACGTACAGTCTCATGACACAAAGCACAGGCACGGGCCAACTTTGGCCCTCCATGTGTTTTGGACTTCAACTCCCACCATTCCTAACAGCCGCTGTTAGGGATTGTGGGAATTGAAGTCCAAAACACATGGAAGGAGGGTCAAAGTTAGCTCAGGCCTGCTTTAGCCAAAGCCTTGCTGCCTTGGCACCAGAAAGAAACCGCTCCGAGTCCCCATCGGGGAGATAGTGGCGGGGTATAAATAAAGTTTATTATTGGCGGGTTTTAATAAGCCTCTGACAACTCGGAACAGTTCGGCCGGACGGTTCTTTGCAGACGCAATAGTGGCCGCAAAGAAAGTTTCTTTGCGGCTTTTATTGCCGCGGCATATGCCCTTAAAAAGGACACAAACCGTGTCCGATTTGACTCGCTCGGATCCGAACGCCACACGCTCTCTAGTTCCCTCTTCTTTCGCTTCAACGCTGCCAGCTCCTCGGTGAACCAAGGAGCTGGTTTAGCTCGGCTACTTGAGAGGGGACGTTCTGGAGCGATCGTGTCTATTGCCCTAGTCATCTCCCCATTCCAGAGAGCGACCAGAGCATCAACAGGATCACCAACCGAGGTGGCGGGAAATTCCCCAAGAGCCGTCAGGAATCCATCCGGATCCATAAGCCTCCTGGGGCGGACCAACTTAATGGGTCCTCCACCTCTGCGGAGGTTGGGGGGTGCAGTGAGTCTAAAGCTGACCAGGTGGTGGTCGGTCCATGGCAACGGAGAGATGGATAACTCCTCAACACCGCCACCTTCCTCCCATCCCTGGCAGAAAACCAAGTCCAATGTGCGTCCAGCACTGTGGGTGGGGCCAGATACCTGTTGGGACAGCCCCATGGTTGCCATGGTAGACATGAAGTCCTGAGCCGCTCCCGATAAGGCGGCCTCGGCATGGACATTGAAGTCACCCAGCACAAGCAGCCGTTGGGACTCCAATGCCAGGTCCGAGACCACCCCCGCTAGCTCAGGCAGGGAGTCTGTAGTGCAGCGAGGTGGACGGTACACTAACAGAATCCCTAATCTGTCCCGGTCACCCACCCTCAGGTGGACGCATTCAAAATTTGTTGACTGCGGGATGGGGGCCCTTATGATTACTATTATGATTACTATTATTATTATTATTATTATTAACGTTGGTGCCAGTCAAGGTTCCAAGGGGAGGGGGCTCCATTTAGGGGGTGCCACAGACAACAAGTGGGGAGTAAACCCTTTGCCAGTTTGGAAGTTAGAATGCCATTGCCTTGGGCCTTGAGCCTTTATTCTATGGCTCATGCAATTAAATCCTTCCTCTTCCCGGTTCCCCTTTATGACAGTTTTACATTACCCATCTCCCAGTGTTTTTAGCATATTTTGAATTTTTATTCTTGAAGTCGCCCTGCCCTGTGGAATTCCTTGTGTTTTGATGTTTTGATTTTATATTGTTGTGTTGTGTACTGTATTGGTTTTTGCATTTTATGTTTTTGTGTCATACTGTATTTATTGTGTTTATTATTTTATTTATTTATTTAACTTGTATACCGCTACTCCCAGTTTGGCTCGGAGCGGTTTACAGAAGCAGATTAAAACAATACAGTTAGCTTTAAAATTTATTTATTTATTATTTATTGACTTTATTTGTATACCGCTCTTCTCAGCCCTTAGGCGACTCAGAGCAGTTAACAACAAGCAGTGGCAAAAATTCAATGCAAACATCATACAAACCATTTAAAAAAACAATTAACACAATAATACACTAAGCAATTAACATCAATAACCATCAATAACCATCAATAAACAACTCACTAGCGTCTCATAACTAAAATCATAATCCAAGCTCGTCATCTGTTGTTCCAATTTCCTATAATTCATTGCAAAATAACAAAAACAAAACAATAGTGTTGATGGGCGTGGCGTCATGTAAGCCACCCGAGTCCTCCCGGGGGAGATGGAGCGGGGTATAAATAAAGTGTTATTATTATTATTATCCTTTAGCAAACGGGCACTTTTCTCTTCTTGTTCCTCCTCCTCTTCCCTTGCAGCCTGAACCCGGACCCCTATGAGCGGCACACCTTCTGGACGCTGGCCTTTGGGGGGGTCTTCATGATGCTCTCCCTTTACGGGGTCAACCAGGCGCAGGTCCAACGGTACCTGAGTTCGCGCTCGGAGCAGCAGGCCATCCTGTGAGTGGCCCTTGGCATGGGTGGGGGGTGGGTGGGTTGGGTTGGGGTGGCACAAAGGGCATCATGCAATGGACATTCCGGTTTGCTTGGCCCATGTGCAGAGTGCAAGGAATATAATAATAAGACTTGATTTGCATTCCCCCCTCTCTCCCCGAGGGGACTCAGAGCAGAATCCAGCATATACGACACAGGCAAACATTCAGTGTCCTTGAAACACAAATACACAGACAAAGGCAAAGGCTTCCCCTCTAATTGCCTCAGTGCTCAGGAGAGACCTGTGTCATAAATACTTTTTATACCTTAAAAAGCATTAAAAAGGTGCTTTTGTTTAGTTCACAATGAGACACAATGAGTTCACAATGCAAAGAGAGAGAAAGTAGGCACACGGACTCTAGCTACGTTGGGTCCACAACTATATCATCATCATCATCATCATCATCATCATAATTATCATCATAACAACAACAACAACAACAATAATAATAATAATAATAATAATAATAATACACTGTGTTTATATTCTGCCCTTCTCCCCAAAGGGATTCAGAGCAGATTACAGTATATACAAACAGACACAGGGAAACAATACAGTGAGAGACACAGACAAAGGCAAAGGCTTCTCCTTTCATTTCCGGCTTCTGGAGGCAATGCTCATCTCTGGCTCTTGAGGGAAGGTGTTTATCTCTATTTCCAAGCCAAGGAGCCTGCATTGTCACCTCCTGCTCATGTGGCTGGCATAAGCATCTTTAGCCTTTTTCCCACTGAAGCAGTACCTATTTATTCACATTTGCATGTTTTCGAACTGCTAGGTTGGCAGCAGCTAGGCCTGACAGCAGGAGCTCACCCTGTCCCACGGATTCAAACTGCCAGCCTTCAGGTCAGCAGTTCAGCAGCATAAGGGTTAAACCCGCTGTGCAACCGCAGCCCCAAAGGGGATATTATATTTTCACTCAGCATTCACAGACATGTAAACATTCACTCCTCATAATGCATGCATTGCCATCTCTTCTTCTAAAGAAGGCCAGATTGCATTCCCACCAAATCTGCCATTCTGCAAATACACCACCTTCCTCCGTCCCTTGGAGAAGATAGCGGGTGGAGCAGACTCCTCTGGTCTGCCACAATTTTGGAATAGTAAAGTGTCTCTTAGATAGCAGTATTTCTTGTTGATGTTCCAGTTGACTTTGTAAATGGTTGACAGGTGTTTTTCAAGCCAAGATATCCCAACTCATATCAGTTCCCAGACAGACATTGGCTTTGCTTCCTTAAGTGATAATTGGTTTTTCTTCTTAAGGAGCCTTGTTTGCTTCCTTCTTAACGTAAGGAACCTTGTAAACATTTCCTTAACCTAAAAGAGACATTGTCTTTGGTAATGTAAACAGGTTGTTTCCCACCACAGGGTTAATCTTTTAATTACAGTTCAAGAATTTCCCTTTTGTAGTTTTCCAGGCTTCATTTCTTAGAATGGCATCTCCAAGTCGACTCTATCAGTTCCCGGACAGATGTTGGCTTTGCTTCCTTAAGTGATAATTTGTTTTCCTTCTTAAGGAGCCTTGTTTGCTTCCTTCTTAACGTAAGGAACCTTGTAAACATTTCCTTAACCTAAAAGAGACATTGTCTTTGGTAATGTAAACAGGTTGTTTCCCACCACAGGGTTAATCTTTTAATTACAGTTCAAGAATTTCCCTTTTGTAGTTTTCCAGGCTTCATTTCTTAGAATGGCATCTCCAAGTCGACTCTATCAGTTCCTGGACAGATGTTGGCTTTGCTTCCTTAAGTGATAATTTGTTTTCCTTCTTAAGGAGCCTTGTTTGCTTCCTTCTTAATGTAAGGAACCTTGTAAACACTTCCTTAACTTAAGGCATTGTCTTTGGTAATGTAAACAGGTTGTTTTCCACCACAGGGTTAATCTTTTAATTACAGTTCAAGAATTTCCCTTTTGTAGTTTTCCAAGCTTTATTTCTTAGAATGGCACCTCCAAGTCGACTCTATCAGTTTCTGGACAGATGTTGATTTTGCTTCCTTAAGTGATAATTGGTTTTCCTTCTTAAGGAGCCTTGTTTGCTTCCTTCTTAATGTAAGGAACCTTGTAAATTGGTTTTCCTTCTTAAGGAGTCTTGTTTGCTTCCTTCTTAACGTAAGGAACCTTGTAAACACTTCCTTAACTTAAAAGAGCAGTTGTCCTTGGTAATGTAAACAGGTTGTTTTCCACCACAGAGGTAATCTTTTAATTACAGTTCAAGAATTTCCCTTTTGTAGTTTTCCAGGCTTCATTTCTTAGGATGTCATCTCCAAGCCTCAACCATACTCATTTGATACAATTCCATTCAAACCAAACATCGTATTTTCATGACACAGATACAAACAACTATGTTGAGGCTGGGTGCCCCTAAACGTCAATATCTCTTCCCAACAAACACTGAAGGCGAGGAGATTTTGAAATCCAATAGTTTTGATTTGTAGAGTAACACCGAGGGGCATGCAATAGGGGAGCGCCACACTAGGCTGACCTGCATGATGGGCTTTATAGTTGACCAGGTCAAGAATAGGGCTCCACAGCCACCTTCAGATCCACAAGAATACTGATCATGGAAGACTATCCTACTCGTCCAACGAGGGATCGCCTAAGTAAGTAAGTAAGTTGACCAGAGTAAAGTAAAGAGCCACACACACAAACCAAAGCTCTGTAGTTGACCAAAGTAGGGTAAAGAGGCACCCACATGCAGTCACATGTCTCCCTGTTTTCCTTCTTTGCGCTTCTCCCGGCTTCCGTCCTTCACTTCAAGGCTTCCTGTTCCAAAACAATTCTCTGTTTTCCAAACAATTCTGCTGCGCTGGCTTCTCCCTCCCGCGTGCTTGTCTCCTCCGTGCCATCATGATCTCTCTCCACCTTTCAAACACATCTTTTTTTCATGATTTATTTATTATTTATGTATTTACAGTATTTATATTCCACCCTTCTTACCCCACAGGGACTCAGGGCGGATCGCAACGCACATATACAGGGCAAACCTTCAATGCCGTTAGACATACAACATATATAGACAGACACAGAGGCTATTTAACTTTCCAGCTTCATGAGGGTATGCTTTTTGAATTCCAGCCACTGGGGGAGCTGTTGCTTCACCGTCCACTTGTGACACTGATGGCCGTCCACTTGTGACACTGTGAGTCGCCTCCGGGCTGAGAACAGCGGTATAGAAGTAAAGTAAATAAATAAGAATTCATATACATGTACATAAACATTAAAAACATTTATCTCAATATTAAAATACACCATTTAAATTAGTCAAATTAGCCTCCCTGCATAAGTGGTACCTAAATTTCCTACTTGAAAGATACAACTGTCTTTCGGGCTGCAAAGGTCGACAGCAAGTTAAACAAATGGTCAGGAGCTTACTCTGACCCATGCTGGCTTCGAACTCATGACCTTTCTGCCAGTAGTGATTTTAATGCGCTGTCTCTTTCTCTCCTTCACTCCCTCCTCCCTTCTTTCTTTAACTTTTTCAAAACTTCATTCTTATGAGATCTTGTCCTTGTTGTGGCTGAGCTGTTTCCTGACGATGAGGATGATGGGATTCAGCTTCCTGGCTCTGTGTCTGAGCCTCAAATCGCTGGGCCTCCTTCTGAGGCTCCCACAAACAGTGCTGTGTCAACACAGCCGTTCCCAGCAGAAAGGAATTTTAACAAAGGAGATAGCGAGCAGGTGCCTTCCCACGATGATACTGAAAGTGTAGATAGTGACTTGACCCGGCAAGCTTGTCTTGATCTGAGGGTCAGACGGAGTTCTCGTTTGGCCAGCAGACGAGAAGTCAGCTCGGTGAAAGGTCATCGCAATGCTTTTATGATGATGCAAGTCTAATGTTTTCATGTTAGAAAGGTATTTAGGCTTCTTGCAAACCCTGAGAAAGCGTCAGTTCAACATAGTTTACTAGCCTGGAAGCTTCATGGAATAACCTTAGCCTGGAAAGCAGTACGCTTGGGATTTCTTGCATTGTGATTCTTGGGGCAAATGTTTCCTTGCTTGTACCTGGGACTCTGGTTTGAACTTTGCCAATAGGATTGTGTCTCCGGCCTTTACCTGAGATCTTTGGAACTATATTCTGCATTTAATCTTAATCTTTGGAACTTTGCAATGCTTACTCTTTATTTTGACTTGGATTTTTCCCTCAATAAATTATACAACTACAGCTCTTGTGTGGTGGTGTTTGGAAGCAAGGTGAAGCTTACTCTGAGTTGCAACAGTCCTCTTCAGCTGTCTACACATATGCATGCTCGCTCTCCTTTCCACAGCAAGTTCATCTTAGCAGACCTCATGTGCCAACAAACACCACCCAGGAGGGCCATCAACCAAGCCATCAACCGGCCTGTCCTGCTTTCATACTCACCCACGTGATGCAATGCCACATTCGTGGCTGCATCGCTCCCTCCCTGATGCAAGCGCACATTTCTAGTTGCATCGGACACTTGCTTGGTCATCCTGACTCGGGGGTTTGTCACCTGGAGAAGCCTTTCTGTCTTGTGATGTCCGCACCCGTCCTCTCCCGCTGAAGCCCTTTCCCTTCCTTCCCGTTTGCCAGGTCCTGCTACGCGGTCTTCCCTTGCCAGCAGCTCGTCCTCTGCCTCAGTTGCCTCACCGGCCTGGTCATGTTCGCCTACTTCCATGAGAACCCGCTCTCCGAGGCCCAGCGCAAGGCCTCCCCGGATCAGGTCGGGCACACCCTCCCTCCTTCCCTCCCTCTGGCCCCACAATTGGGGGGCTTCACGCAGGACCCCCGCCCATTCAGGCACTCCTCGCCCACACTCGTGCCTTTGGAGACACGTTCACGGCATTGTGGCCTCAACCCGACTGTCTCCTCCCCGCACACTCTTATCATTTTCATGTATTCTAAGCTGTTTTGATGGTTTTAATTATTCGTTTTCAGAGAGTTCCAAGTCCAATCCTATTTTAATGTTTAGGGTCTTTATATTTTGCATTGTATTCTTTTTACAGCTTTGGATTTCTTTAAGACCAAAACATAACAATAGCAATAGTAGTAGCAACTCATCAACACTCTTATATAATAATAATAATAATAATAATAATAATAATAATAATAATAATAATACTTTATTTGTACCCCGCTACCATCTCCCCAAGGGACTCGGTGCGGCTTACATGAGGCCGAGCCCACAGCACATCAGTAAAACAATAACAACAATAATACATAACAAATAAAATAAAACTCATAAACAGAAAATGAGCAGTAAACATCAACAGTAAAAAGCACAACAAGGTTTAAAAACCTATGGCTGGGCCAAATGTAATAATTAAAATTATAAAATAATGCTGAGCATGACCAGGTGAAATATAACTAAGATAGAATTTTCAGAGAGGAATCCTTGTTGCACACTTATGCACCTGTGTGGGCAGCTCCCTCTTGCCTGGTCAGTCCTTTTTGCACATTTGTTGTTTTGATGTATTTAAAACTGCATTCATTTTCAGATAGTTGTCAATTTGCTCCTATTTCAATGTTTATAGTCTTTAGATTTAACATTGTATTGTATGGTTCGTCACTTTGGGTCTCATTAAGGCCAAAAAAGCGGGATATTATTATTATTATTATTATTATTAGTAATAATAATAATAATAATAATAATAATAATAATAAGTACAACAGCCAACAGAGTGATCTTGTTTGCCGTGGACTCATCTTGTTGTGTTTCAAATAATAATAATAATAATAATAATAATAATAATAATAATAATAATAAGTACAACAGCCAACAGAGTGATCTTGTTTGCCGTGGACTCATCTTGTTGTGTTTCAAATAATAATAATAATAATAATAATAATAATAATAATAATAAGTACAACAGCCAACAGAGTGATCTTGTTTGCCGTGGACTCATCTTGTTGTGTTTCAAATAATAATAATAATAATAATAATAATAATAATAATAATAAGTACAACAGCCAACAGAGTGATCTTGTTTGCCGTGGACTCATCTTGTTGTGTTTCAAATAATAATAATAATAATAATAATAATAATAATAATAATAATAATAAGTACAACAGCCAACAGAGTGATCTTGTTTGCCGTGGACTCATCTTGTTGTGTTTCAAATAATAATAATAATAATAATAATAATAATAATAATAATAATAAGTACAACAGCCAGCATAGTGATCTTGTTTGCTGTGGACTCATCTTGTTGTGTTTCAAATAATAATAATAATAATAATAATAATAATTTGATACAAAATCCTAGACACTTGGAAAGTGTCTGATGTGTGATCCAACACAAAAGCCAGCATAGTGACCTTGTTTGCTGTGGGCTAATCTTGTTGTGTATCTAATAATAATAATAATAATAATAATAATAATAATAATAATAATAATAATAGTAATAGTAATTGTTTGCTGTGACATACTGTGCTTTTGTGTCAATAATAATAATAATAATAATAATAATAATAATAATAATAATGACAACAACTTATGAACACCCTTGCACTCTTATGCATGGCCCCTCGCACACTTGTCCATGTCCATGTTCCACACTTATGCACACATGCACAGAGATCCGCCTTGCCTGCTCTGTCCTACTAGCCCAGCTGAGAGAGAGAGAGGTCACTCCAGGACCGCCCCCCCTGATGTCACCTGCCCCTCTTCCACTGTTGTGCCCCCCCCCCCATCAGTTCTCAGTCAGTCACCAAGCGGAGCGTTGCTCCAACTCTTCTCAGTCCGAGTCCTGATTGTTCCCTGACTCCGTCCATCCCTGCAGATGGTGCTCTACTTCGTGATGGACGTCCTGCAGGAGGTGCCCGGCCTCCCCGGCCTCTTTGTAGCTTGTCTCTTCAGCGGCTCCTTGAGGTGAGCACTGACCCTCCCCTTTGTGTCATGAAAATATCATTGCTGAATTGATCAATGTGGATTTAATGATATGTGGGAATGAATGCAAGAATGGAAGGATGTATGGATGGAGTTAATAATTTTGGAGACACCAGTATAATACTAAGGGCCTGCAATGGCTAACTATCTGCTTGCTGGACTGCAATTAAAAGTAGCTAATAAGAACTGAAAAATAAACTGTGATAAGAACTGGAAAGTGATAACAGAAATGTTTACAATGTTAAGAAGGAAGTCAACACATGCCTTGTGTTTGTCAACACCACTCAAGAAGAGCAACATCTGGCCAGGAAACTGAGATGGATCCAGAATGGAAGATGTCTATTGTTAATTTACAACTTTGGGACGACATCAGCAGAATATTCCTATGAAAGTCTAATAATGCTCAAAGTGTGGCAGACCTGAGGAGTCTGGTCCACCCACCATGCTCTGTTCCATGGGAAGGAGAGAGGTGGTTGCATAGAATCTGTATATCTAAATGTTTTTCTGTAATCTGATGTCCCCTCTCACACTGGAAATTACAATGAAAAGAACCTATGCTTCAAAGTTATTGAAAAGTCATGACATTTGCCCCCTTTGACTTCTTTTGGGGGGGAGGTCGTGACCTCTGCTGACCCTCCTCCTTCCCTCCCCCCTGCAGCACCATCTCCTCGGCCTTCAACTCCTTGGCAACGGTGACCATGGAGGACCTGATCCGTCCGCACGCAGGCAGCATCTCCGAGGGACGAGCCACCCTCTACTCCAAGTTGCTGGGTGCGTTGGTTGTGGGTTGTGGGTCAGAGGTGGGAGGGATCCTGGTAGAGTTTCTGTGTTGTCCTCTTTCCGTCCCCTTGACGCACCTCTGCTTCCCCTTCCAGCGCTGGCCTATGGCCTCCTCTGCCTGGGCATGGCCTACATCTCCTCCATGATGGGCCCCGTCCTGCAGGTAAGGCGGAGACTGCGACCCCAGAGTGGAGGAGGAGGGGGGGGGGCTCTTGAGCCTGGTCAGTGGCCAGAGGGTCACTCCCTCCTTCAACCAGGGAGGGGCAGACAAGAGAACCCAGCCTTCCTCTGGGGTTGGTCCTGCCCTGAAACCCAGCCAGTCAGGAAACAATGGGTTTGTATTTGGTATCGAGGAAAATAGACTCTGGGGACAAAACACCGTTGAGGGGAGCAACTGTGTCTGAGAGTATGGCGACCTAATTATCATTCAACCTGAGTTTCCTATATTGCATTACTATTCAGATTTTGTAAGTCAAGCTGAATTATTTCTGATCCTGTTCGATTGCTCTGTTTTAATGATATTTCCTAGGCTATTATACATTTTCATCCACCTTGTTGAACCCATTACTCTTTAATCAGCCCGTATTTTTGGCCTCACCCCCCCCTCTTAGTTCTTTTGTTGCTTGATGCTTTTCTATTATTGTTATGTTTGTTTTATGTTTTTAAATTGCATTTTGTTATTGCTCTGCTTTTAATTGTATGTTCCCTGGCCTGGGCCCCATGTAAGTCGCCCTGAGTCCCTTCGGGGAGATGGAGGCGGTATAGAAAAGTAAATGTTTTTCTTCCTCTTCCTCTTCCTCTTCCTCTTCTTCTTCTTCCTCTTCCTCTTCCTCTTCTTCCTCTTCCTCTTCCTCCTCTTCTTCTTCTTCCTCTTCCTCTTCCTCTTCCTCCTCTTCTTCTTCCTCTTCCTCTTCCTCTTCCTCCTCTTCTTCTTCTTCCTCTTCCTCTTCTTCCTCTTCTTCTTCTTCTTCCTCTTCCTCTTCTTCCTCTTCCTCTTCTTCTTCCTCCTCTTCTTCTCTTCCTCTTCCTCTTCTTCTCTTCCTTCTTCCTCTTCCTCTTCTCTCTTCCTCTTCTTCTTCCTCTTCTTCCTTTCTTCTTCCTCTTCTTCTTCTCTTCTTCCTCTTCCTCTTCTCTTCCTCTTCTTCTTCCTCTTCTTCTTTCTTCTTCCTCTTCTTCTTCCTCTTCCTCTTCTTCTTCCTCTTCTTCTTCTTCCTCTTCTTTTCTTCCTCTTCTTCTTCCTCTCTCTTCTTCTCTTCCTCTTCCTCCTTTCCTCTTCTTCTTCTTCCTCTTCTTCCTTCTTCTCTTCTTCTCTCCTCTCTTTTCCTCTTCCTCTTCTTCTCTTCTCTCTTCTCTTCCTTTCCTCTTCTCTTTCTCTTCTCTTCCTCTTCTTCTTCTTTTCCTCTTCCTCTTCTTCCTTCCTCTTCCTCCTCTTCTTCTTCTTCCTCTTCTTCTTCTTCTTCTCTCCAAAAGTGCATTGGAAAAGCCAGATTTTGAGATCCCTCTTGAAAATTTCTAAGGTGGGGGCCTTCCTAATCTTCCAATCAGGCTTCTTCTCCTTCATGCAAATGAGAAAGCAAAACATAAACCTTGAGTAAATAGCTGTTCCACCATAGCAAAGAGCATCGCTGTGAGAGCAGAGCAGCATCTCCTTCAGAGCAGCATATTGCTTCTCCTCCAAACTGTATTCCAAAATCCAAACAGTTATACCCCATCGGTTGTGGAAAAAACATGCTGGCTGACCTACATTACCAGCTGTAATAATAATAATAATAATAATAATAATAATAATAATAATAATAATAATAATAATAATAATCCTTTATTTATTATAAAGGTTGTACATAATAATTAACATCGTAAGGTTTTTCTTTAACATACACTTGATCCTGCTACGACTTAGAGACTCTGGATAGGGATTACCAGTTGAATTACCACTAAAGTGGACCGTTGGAACTGCGTGTCACACCTCAGGGTAGAGTCACCTTGCTTAGGACACCAAAGAACACACCAGCAGTAGTCTTTATGGTTTATTAAAGTAAAAGATAAACCCATCATAGAATCAAAGAGTTGGAAGAGACCTCATGGGCCATCCAGTCCAACCCCATTCTGCCAAGAAGCAGGAATATTGCATTCAAATCACTCCTGACAGATGGCCATCCAGCCTCTGCTTAAAAGCTTCCAAAGAAGGAGCCTCCACCACACTCCCTCTGGGGCAGAGAGTTCCACTGCTGAACGGCTCTCACAGTCAGGAAGTTCTTCCTCATAGAATCATAGAATCAAAGAGTTGGAAGAGACCTCATGGGCCATCCAGTCCAACCCCATTCTGCCAAGAAGCAGGAATATTGCATTCAAATCACCCTGACAGATGGCCATCCAGCCTCTGTTTAAAAGCTTCCAAAGAAGGAGCCTCCACCACACTCCGGGGCAGAGAGTTCCACTGCTGAACGGCTCTCACAGTCAGGAAGTATGTCCTGTGAGAGCCGTTCAGCAGTGGAACTCTCTGCCCCGGAGTGTGGTGGAGGCTCCTTCTTTGGAAGCTTTTAAACAGAGGCTGGATGGCCATCTGTCAGGGGTGATTTGAATGCAATATTCCTGCTTCTTGGCAGAATGGGGTTGGACTGGATGATGGCCCAGGAGGTCTCTTCCAACTCCTTGATTCTAGGATTCTGTAACTTCCTGACTGTGAGAGCCGTTCAGCAGTGGAACTCTCTGCCCCAGAGGGAGTGTGGTGGAGGCTTCTTCTTTGGAAGCTTTTAAACAGAGGCTGGATGGCCATCTGTCAGGGGTGATTTGAATGCAATATTCCTGCTTCTTGGCAGAATGGGGTTGGACTGGATGGCCCAGGAGGTCTCTTCCAACTCTTTGATTGTATGAGGCTGGATGGCCATCTGTCAGGGGTGATTTGAATGCAATATTCCTGCTTCTTGGCAGAATGGGGTTGGACTGGATGGCCCAGGAGGTCTCTTCCAACTCTTTGATTGTATGAGGCTGGATGGCCATCTGTCAGGGGTGATTTGAATGCAATATTCCTGCTTCTTGGCAGAATGGGGTTGGACTGGATGGCCCAGGAGGTCTCTTCCAACTCTTTGATTCTATGATTCTATGATGGGTTTATCTTTTACTTTAATAAACCATAAAGACTACTGCTGGTGCGTTCTTTGGTGTCCTAAGCAAGGTGACTCTACCCTGAGGTGTGACACGCAGTTCCAACGGTCCACTTTACATCAGAATCATTGACATTATCACTCTGCGATTCCAGCTGAGTCACAACCCTGTGTGCCTTTGCTGCCGCTTCCCTGGGGCTGCTTGGATGTGTTTGTGTGTTTATTCATTTATTTTGGGCATTAGTATCCCTTCCTGTCTCGACCATCACAGAGGAGAACTCAGGGCGGCTGCCAACCGGCACAGCACAGTGCCAACAACAAAGTCAAATAAGCATAAATACACGTATCATAATAAAACAGATATAAAAATACATTAAAAAAACTAGTTCGCCGATTTGATTCGTCATGCTAAAAACAGTCCCTCGTCGTCCATGAAAACAGTGTCTTTGCCAGCAAGTCAGTCTATCCTGCAAACACTTGATCCCACGGCCAGGACTTCAAATTCTTTTGGAAGGTCAGAAAGGATGGAGCAGATTGGATCTTGTTAGGGAGAGAACTCCACAGCTGAGGGGCCACCACGGAGAAGGCCCTGTCTCTCTCGTTCCCACCAACTGCAATTGTGATGGCGGAGGGACCGAGAGCAAGGCCTTTCCAGATAATCTTAATGTTCTAGAGCAGTGTTTCTCAACCTTCCTAATGTCGCGACCCCTTAATCCAGTTCCTCATGTTGTGGTGACCCCCAACCATCACATTGTTTTTCTTGCTACTTCACAACTGTAGTTTTGCTACTGTTATGAAGCATAATGTAAATATCTAATATGCAGGATGTATTTTCATTCACTGGACCAAATTTGGCAAAAATACCCAATACGCCCGAATTTGAACACTGGTGATGTTTGGTGGAGGATTGATTTTGTCATTGGGGAGTTGTAGTTGCTGGGATTTATAGTTCACCTACAATCAAAGAGCATTCTGAACTCCACCAAGGATGGAAATGAACCAAACGAGGCACACAGGATTCCCACGACCAACAGAAAATACTGGAAGGGTTTGATGGGCATTGACCTTGAGTTTTGGAGTTGTAGTTCACCTACATCCAGAGAGCACTGTGGACTCAAACAAAGATGGATCTGGACCAAATTTGGCATGACAATCAATATGCCCAAATGTGATGTGAACTTTGCTGGAGTTTGGGGAAAATAGACCTTGACATTGGGAGTTGTAGTTAGTGGGATTTATAGTTCATCTGCAATCAAAGAGCATTCTGAACCCCACCAAGGTTAGAATTGGGCCAAACATCCCACATAGAACCCCTATGGCCAACAGAAAATACTGTGTCTTTGGTGACCCCTCTGACACCCCCTTGCGACCCCTCCAGGGGTCCCGACCCCCAGGTTGAGAAACGCTGTCCTAGGTGGTTCGTAGAGGGAGATACATTCGGACAGGTAAACTGGGCCAGAACCATTAAGCATTGGGAAGAATAGCTGGATTGCATCCATGATGTTGGGGTTGTGCCTTCAAAGAGATGGGGGTATGAGGAAGGGGTTGGGGGGGGATCTCCACCCCTGGCTCTGCCCCACTGCATTGAGGGGAGCACCTTGTGTGCCCCCCCCAAGCACCTTCACCTTCCCACGCGGGCAGTGGCATGTTGTGGGGGTCCCTGGCACCAGGCCTGGTTCTGTGGACTCCCTGGCTCCCCATTTGCCCTTCTTGGGCAAAGTCCTGGAACGTGTGGTGGCCTCACAACTCCAAGCATTCTTGGTAGACACTGATTATCTGGATCCGGCACAGTCTGGCTTTAGGCCGGGTCATGGTACCGAGACAGCCTTGGTCGCCTTAGTGGATGATCTCCGGCGTGAGCTTGACAGGGGGAGTGTGTCCCTGTTGGTTCTGCTGGACCTCTCAGCGGCCTTCGATACCGTCGACCACGGTATCCTTCTGGGGCGCCTCGTGGGAATGGGCCTGGGGGGCGCTGTTCTACAGTGGCTCAGGTCCTTCCTAGAGGATCGTACCCAGAAGGTGTTACTGGGGGACAACTGCTCGTCCTCACAACCATTGACTTGTGGGGTCCCGCAGGGTTCATACTGTCCCCCATGTTGTTTAACATCTACATGAAGCCGTTGGGAGAGATCATCCGGAGTTTCGGGGTGCGGTGTCATCTGTACGCAGATGATGTCCAACTCTGTCACTCCTTTCCACCTACTACTAAGGAGGCTGTCCAGGTCCTGAACCGGTGCTTGGCCGCTGTGTCGGACTGGATGAGGGTGAACAAATTGAAACTCAATCCAGACAAGACAGAGGTACTCCTGGTCAGTCGGAAGGCCGAACAGGGTATAGGGTTACAGCCTGTGCTGGACGGGGTCGCACTCCCCCTGAAGACACAGGTTCGCAGCTTGGGTGTGACTCTGGATTCTTCGCTAAGCTTGGAACCCCAAGTTTCAGCGGTTTCCAGAGGAGCATTTGCACAGCTTCGGCTCGTGCGCCAGCTGCGCCCGTATCTTGGGAAGTCGGACTTGGCCACGGTAGTCCACGCTCTTGTCACATCCCGCATAGATTACTGCAACGCGCTCTACGTGGGGTTGCCCTTGAAGACTGTCCGGAAGCTTCAGATGGTCCAGCGCCCGGCAGCCAGGTTGCTAACGGGAGCGGCACTCAGGGAGCATACCACTCCTCTGTTGAGCCAGCTCCACTGGCTGCCAATTCGCTACCGGGCACAATTCAAGGTGCTGGCTTTAGCCTATAAAGCCCTAAACGGTTCTGGCCCCACTTACCTCTCCGAACGCATCTCCACCTATGAACCGACTAGAGGATGCTAAGATCGTCCGGGGAGGCCCTGCTCTCGGTCCCGCCAGCATCACAAGTGCGGCTGGCGGGGACGAGGGACAGGGCCTTCTCGGTGGTGGCCCCTCGGCTATGGAATGCCCTACCAGTGGAGATCAGGCAGGCCCCCTCGCTATTGGCGTTTAGGAGGCGGGTTAAGACGTGGCTCTTCGAACAGGCGTTCGGATAAGCATGCAATAACATCTGACTCAGAAGACGGCATACTGAACAAGGAATGGTAAAACGACTATGAGATTTGGATCTGATTCTATTCGAGGCGTGATGACGTTTTGTGTATTGTTTGTGGTTGTTTGTCATATATATTGTTCAATGTTGCACATTTTACTGTAAACCGCTTAGAGTCGCCGCGGCTGATATTTGCGGTATACAAAAGGAGTAAATAAATAAATAAATAAATTTGTATGCACTTTGTAAACAGAGACCCTCCCCGCCATGATCCCTTATTTTCTTTGCTTGTCTTAGGCAGCCATCAGCATTTTCGGCATGGTGGGGGGCCCGCTCCTGGGTCTCTTCTGCCTGGGCATGTTCTTCCCGTGTGCCAACTCTACGGTGAGTAAATATAATTTAATATCATCAATATCAATAATCATATATTATGTGAACACGTTAGTATAATTTAAGTGAGGGGTGGGTTGGTACTGAAGAGGGAGGGGGGCTTTGCCAAGGGACGCTGGGGAGGGCAAGGGGGGGGTCTGTGGGGCATGCGGACCCCCAAAGGCCTGGCCCTGTGCTGCATCCCCTCTCTCCCCCCAGGGCGCTGTCTCTGGCCTGGCTGCAGGGCTGGCCATGGCCTTCTGGGTGGGCATCGGGGGCATCGTGGCCAACATGCAGGCCTCGGCCCCCACGGCCCCCGGCCTCCCTCCGCTCAACGGGAGCCTGACCACGCCCTCCATGGCCACGCTGATGACCTCCACCAGAGCCCCTGAGAGGTAAGGGGGGAACGGTAGGTGGGGGGTGGGTGGTTGGGGGGCAAACATGACCTCAAAGGACCAGCAGCAGTGGCAGGGGCGGGGGGGGGGGGGGTGTCAGTGAATGTGTTTGGTGGAATAACACACACTATATGAAGTTGTTCCTGGGTTGTCAGTGTCATTTCCTAATTGGTACTGTCATTTGCATAGCCCGGCTATTCATTTATCGTGTTAGGAGCAACCAGACATTTGTATTACATTTTTTTTTGCAAGTTTGCAAGCTTGGTAGCGGATTAAATGTCCTTTGACCAGTACCTGGCCACTTGGAGTGCTGCCTCTGGGGTTGCCGCAAGAAGGTCCTCCCTTGTGCATCATGTGGAAGAAGGGCTCAGGGTGCATTGCAGCAGGGGGTCAGTGGTTTGCTCTTCTCCGCACTCGCATGTCGTGGATTCCACTTTGTGGCCCCATTTCTTCAGGTTGGCTCTGCATCTCGTGGTGCCAGAGCGCAGTCTGTTCAGCGCCTTCCAGGTCGCCCAGTCTTATTTATTATTTATTTCATTTACTTATACCCCGCCCTTCTCACCCCGGGGGGGGGGGGGGGCCTCAGGGCGGCTTACAGAGGGGGCACAATTAGATGCCTAAATCAATTGACAGTAATAAAATACAAAAGCAATTCAGCAGTTAAAAATTAAACATCGGTACATAATAGAATATTAAAACAATCTCATGCTCGGGTTCAGAGTCCATATATCCATTCCATTCCATTTGTCCTTGTCTGTCGTCAGATCCTTAATTTAGCTGCCAGTGTATCCAAAGGCTTGGTCCCAAACCCAGGTCTTCAGTTTTTTCCTGAATGTCAGAAGGGAGGTCGCCGATCTAATCTCCCCGGGGAGTGAGTTCCACAGGTGGGGGGCCACCACTGAGAAGGCCCTGCTCCTCGTCCCCACCAGCCTCACTTGTGACAGTGGTGGGGTCGAGAGCAGAGCCTCCCCAGAAGATCTTAAGCTTCGAGGTGGGATGTAGAGGGAGATCCGTTCGGACAAATACACTGGGCCGGAACCGTATAGGGTTTTGTAGGTCAAGACCAGCACTTTGAATTGTGCTCGGAATTGGATCGGCAGCCAGTGGAGCTGACGCAACAGGGGGGTGGTGTGCTCCCTGTACGCCACTCCGGTGAGCAATCTGGCTGCTTCTCGCTGGACTAGTTGAAGTTTCCGAGCAGTCTTCAAAGGCAACCCCACGTAGAGTGCGTTGCAGTAATCCAACCGGGATGTGACAAGAGCGTGGACCACCGTGGCCAGATCCGACTTCCCAAGGTACGGGCGCAGCTGGTGCACAAGTTTTAATTGTGCAAAAGCTCTCCCGGCCACCGCTGAGACCTGGGGTTCCAGGCTCAGCGATGAGTCCAGGATCACTCCCAAGCTGCGAACCTGCGTCTTCAGGGGGAGTGCGACCCCTCGAGCACAGGCTGTAACCCTATGCCCTGTTCGGCCTTACGACTGACCAGTAGGACCTCTGTCTTGTCTGGATTCAATTTCAATTTGTTAGCTCTCATCCAGTCCGACACAGCGGCTAAACACCGGTTCAAGGTCTGGACAGCCTCCTTGGTGACAGGTGAGAAGGAGTGACAGATTTGGACATCATCTGCATAGAGATAACATCTTAGTCCGAAACTCTGAATGATCTCTCCCAGCGGCTTCATGTAGATGTTAAATAACATCGGGGACAGAATTGAACCCTGTGGGACTCCACACAACAACGGTTGCGGAGCCGAACAGGTGTCACCCAATAACACCTTCTGAGTCCGTCCCTCAAGGAAGGATCGGAGCCACCGCAGAGCAGTGCCTCCAAGCCCCATGTCCATGAGGCGCCAGAAGGATACCGTGATCGACGGTATCGAAGGCCGCTGAGAGGTCCAGCAGAACTAACAGGGACACACTCCCCCTGTCCAGCTCCCTGCGTAGATCATCTACCAAGGCGACCAAGGCTGTCTCAGTTCCATGTCCCGGCCTGAAGCCAGACTGTGCCGGGTCTAGATAATCAGTGTCTACCAGAAACCCCTGGAGTTGTGTTGCCACCACACGTTCCATGACTTTGCCCAAATAGGGGAGATTGGAAACTGGCCGATAGTTGTCGAATTGAGTGGGATCCAGTGATGGTTTCTTCAACAGCGGTTTTATAATAGCTTGTTTTAAGCTCGCTGGAAATTTTCCTTCCTGTAAGGAGGCATTAACCATCACCTTCACCCACTCTGCCAAACCCCCTCTGGCTTCCTTGATCAGCCAGGAAGGGCAGGGGTCTAGGATGCATGTGGTGGGTCGCACCTCTCCAAGGATCCTATCCACATCCTCAAGCTGAACCAATTGAAATGAATCCAACAAAACTGGACAAGCAGATGCTCTCGTTACATCCCCAGAGACTGCCGTTAATGTGACGTCAAAGCCTGACCGAATCCGCTCAATTTTATCCGCGAAGGATCGAGCAAATGCTTCACAGCGAGCCACCGAGTTATCCGAGGCCTCGCTTTTTGGCGGGTTTAACAGGCCTCTGACAACTCGGAAAAGCTCCGCTGGACGATTCTTCGCTGATGCAATATTGGCTGTGATGAATGTTTTCTGGGCCGCCGTTATTGCCACACCGTAGGACCTTAAAAAGGCCTTCAGGTGTGTTTGGGCTGGATTGGTGGGGTTCAGGCGCCACACGCGCTCTAACCTCCTCTTCTTTCGCTTCATCGCTGCCAGCTCCTCAGTGAACCAAGAGGCTGGTTTAGCTCGGTTACTCGAGAGGGGGCGTTCCGGAGCGATAGTGTCGATTGCCCTGGTCAACTCACTATTCCAGCCAGAGACCAGAGCGTCGACAGTGTCGCTAGCCAAGGAGGTGGAAAAATCCCCAAGGGCCGTCAGGAAACCATTTGGATCCATCAGTCTCCTGGGGCGGACCATTTTAATGGGTCCACCACCCCTGCGAAGGTTAGAAGGCACAGTTAGTCTAAAACTGATCAGGTGGTGATCGGTCCATGGCAAAGGAGCGATGGTCGGCTCCTCCATCCCGTCACCCTCATCCCATCCCTGGGTGAAGACCAAATCTAAGGTGTGTCCGGCACTATGGGTGGGACCAGATATTAGCTGGGACAGGCCTATGGTTGCCATGGCGGCCATGAAGTCCTGAGCCGCACCGGAAAGAGAGGCCTCGGCATGGATGTTGAAATCTCCCAAGACCAAAAGCCGTTGGGAGTTCAACGCCATGTCCGAGACCACTCCTGCTAGCTCAGGTAAGGAGACTGTAGTGCAGCGGGGTGGTCGGTACACTAACAGAATCCCTATCCTGTCCCGGTCACCTATCCTAAAGCCGGCACATTCGAAGGAAGATGATTGTGGGATGGGACGCCTGATCAGTGGAATAAAGTCCTTATAGACCACTGCGACTCCGCCTCCCCGCCCTCCAAGCCTTGGTTGGTGCTGAACAGAGTAGCCTGGTGGACAGAGTTGGGAGAGATTAACCCCTCCCCCCTCGTCCAGCCAGGTTTCTTCTGTGTGTCCAGGGGGGAGTCTCTCACCCATGGATTGTAGTTCTGGGTTTGAGCCTGCCACTATTTTTTCTACTTTATTTGTACCCCGCTAGCATCTCCCGAAGGATTCGATGCAGCTTACACAGGCCGAGGCCTCAACACACAACACAACAATACAATCTAAGCAAATCAAACAATTAAAAACAGAATAAAGCAAAATAAACAGGCACAATACACTTAACACAATAAAACTGGGCCGGGCCAGAGAATGGGTACAAGAATTAAAAGTGCTGATGTGACAGGAGGTGTATATGAGGCTTCTAGAGCAAGTGTGATGTGCGATGTGCAGCAATCATTGGTTCTAGTAAAGTGCTTATGGGACTTGGTAGTGGAGATTTCCTAATCTGGGAAGGCGCATCCGAAAAGCCAGGTCTTCAAGTTCTTTCTGAAGACAGCCAATGTAGGGGCCTGCCTAAGGTCTTTGGGGAGGGTGTTCCAGAGTTGGGGGGTCACCACGGAAAAGGCCCTGTCCCGCGTCCCCACCAAGCGCGCTTGCGACGCCGGTGGGATCACGAGCAGGGCCTCCCCAGATGACCGAAGTGAACACGTGGGTTCGTAGATGGAAATGCGGTCACGCAGGTAGGCTGGTCCCAAACCGTTCACGGCTTTGTAGGTAAGCACCTGCACCTTAAATTGGGCTCGGAATATAAACGGAAGCCAGTGGAGCTCCTTTTGGACTCTGGCTTGCTGGGGTGTTCCAGCGAGTGTCTCTGTAGATCTTAGAAAACTATGTCTTGATTTAAGTCGTTGACGTGCTGGCTGAGACCCAAACAGGGGATGAGCTGGAGATGTCACTGCTTTGGTCCTTTCACTATTGGCTGCTCCTTCCCGGCGGATGTCAGGTGGTGCAATACCGGCTAAGCAGTGTCATTTCTCCAGTGGTGTAGGGCGCAGACACCCCATGATAATGCGGCATGTCCCATTAAGAGCCACATCCACTGTTTTAGTGTGGTGAGATGTGTTCCACACTGGGCATGCGTACTCAGCAGCAGAGCAGCACAGCGCAAGGGCAGATGTCTTCACTGTGTCTGGTTGTGATCCCTAGGTTGTGCCAGTCAGCTTTCGTATGCTATTGTTTCTAGACCCACTTTTTGCTTGATGTTCAGGCAGTGCTTCTTGTAGGTCAGAGCACGGTCCAAAGTGACTCCCAGGTATTTGGGTGCGCTGCAACGCTCCAGTGGGATTCCTTCCCAGGTAATAATCCTCAGAGCTCGGGATGCTTCTCTGTTCTTAAGGTGAAAAGGACACGTCTGTGTTTTAGATGGGTTAGGGATCAGCTGGTTCTCCCTGTCATAGGTGATAAGAACACCCAGAGCTTTGGAGAGCTTCTGTTCCACCATCTCAAAGCTCCCTGCTTGAGTGGTGATGGCACGATTGTCAGCATAGATGAAGCTCTCTGTCCCTTCTGGCAGTGGCTGGTCATTTGTGGCTGGTGAGATGTGTTCCACACTGGGCACACATACTCAGCAGCAGAGTAGCACAGCGCAAGGGCAGATGTCTTCACTGTGTCTGATTGTGATCCTCAGGTTGTGCCAGTCAGCTTTCCCTGCCCCCCTGCACACAAACAAATACTGGACTTGGCTTAGGACCAAAGGAAGGAAGGACCATCACAGTGGTGGTTCAAATGGCGTCAGGCGACATTCATTTTGTAATGAGGATGGACCCTAGGATGCTTCCGAGAAGAGCCTTGAAGGATCAAGCCCTTCAAGTTGTGGCTGCCCTGGGATCCCTTTGCATTTCCAAACAGTGAAGGGGCAAAAGTTGTCCTTGTGTGGGGGGGGGGGGGGGCAGGCAGTACACAGCAGTGAATGCAAAACCAGGGTTAAAGGGGAAGCAGAGCAGAACGACACCCGAGCGTTCCCCACAGCACAGCGACCTTTGGCAGAGCCAGGATTGCATGGTCAGTAGCCCGTTGAAGGGGACAGCAAGGGGGGGTCCTGTGGCTGGAGCGCCCCAAAGACCCTCTCACCCAAGGCCTGCGTTGGGCGGTCTTCCTCTGGATGTTCTTGGTCTCCAACTCCCATTGGAGCTACAGCCCGAGTGACCCTTCTGACCCGGCCTTGCCCACACTGACCGCTCTCCCCTCCTTCGTTCCTGGCTTGACTACCAACACCTGCCTCTTCCTGCTCTGAAAGGGTTATTTCCTGTTTCCTTGCACCATCTTTACTTTGGAAGTAGTTGGGTTTTTTTTTTAAAATTTTATTTACATACATTAACAACTTACAGTGTAAACAAAACACAAAACAACAAACATTTTACAAACACAGAACCCCACCACCAAGGCCTGAACAATATATGGTTGTCGAAGGCTTTCATGGCTGGAATCACAAGGTTCTTGTGGGTTTTTTCGGGCTATAGAGCCATGTTCTAGAGGCATTTTCTCCTGACGTTTCGCCTGCATCTATGGCAAGCATCCTCAGAGGTAGTGAGGTCTGTTGGAAGTAGGACAATGGGTTTATATATCTGTGAAATGACTGGGGTGGGACAAAGAGCTCTTGTCTGCTGGAGCTAGGTGTGAATGTTTCAACTGACCACCTCCATTAGCATTTGAAGGCCTGGCTGAGCCTGGGAAAACCTTTTGTTGAGAGGTGTTAAGATGTGCCTGGTTGTTTCCTCTCTGCTGTTTTGCTGTTGTAATTTTAGAGTTTTTTAATACTGGTAGCCAGATTTTGTTCATTTTCATGGTGTCTTCCTTTCTGTTGAAATTGTCCACCTGCTTCTTGTGGATTTCAATGGCTTTTCTGTGTCGTCTGACATGATGGTTGTTGGTGTGGTCCAGCATTTCTGTGTTCTCAAATGCTAATGAAGGTGATCAGTTGAAACATTCGCACCTAGCTCCAGCAGAGAACAGCTCTTTGCCCCACCCCAGCCATTCCACAGACATATAAACCCATTGTCCTAACTCCAACAGACCTCACTACCTCTGAGGATGCTTGCCATAGATGCAGGCGAAACGTCAGGAGAAAAATTGCCTCCAGAACATGGCCCTATAGCCCGAAAAAACCCACAAGAACCTAATATATGGTTGGTTTATATATTTCTAAATCAACCATTAATCAAATGTCATATCCAAAGTTCCTGACCGGTAAGGTTATATTATATTATAATATTTATTATATGTATATAATAATAATAATAACAATATTATTATTATTGTTATTGTTGTTGTTGTTATTATTATTATTATTATTATTATATTGTTTCCCATTCATATTTATATAATAATAATAATAATAATAATAATAATAATAATAATAATAATTGTGATTGTTTCCCATTCTCACACTCTAAAGCATATTTAATTTTTTAAAAGTAGTTGTTCTACTCCAGAAACTTTGTTTTTTGGACCACAAATTATGTTGAATTGGCAGAAACTCCTTAATTGTGCTACATATAGTAGGATTGTCAGAGTGCGACAGAAGCTTTGAAGCTTGGAAGAACGGACACTTTGAGACTTCAGTAAAAACAAACATTTAGCTTTACTGAGTAGAGCAAATATGCAGCACACATTCGCATTTACATCCAATCAAACAGACAAGAACAAGACAAAAGACACACCGAAGTCAGAAGGACGGAACAAAATCTTATCTCTGGATCCTCCCTACGCGTTCCAGGCACACTCAGGGTCACATCTTCACAGTTGACTATTTAACCCTTTCATTGTCAATACACTCTTTGGTAATGCAATCAGGTTGCATTCACAGGCATTGCACAAAAATACATTTAAATATTCACAATACACTAATCTTACATTAACAAGGATGATGTCCTTCCCGCATGAAAAATACATTTTTGCAGTTTAATAAACTTTCCCCATTAATGTTTTTATGATAGTGTTGCAACCCAGAGCAGGAAACGAGACCCTAAGATAACCTTCCACCACACTTGACTGTAGGAAAAACAATCCCCTTTTATTGATGAAAAATGGTTACAAAATAGAGGAAAATGCAAAGTCAAAAAGCCACAGTAAAAATCAGCAATCAGAAATTTCCATGAACTAGATCAAAAACCAAAAGCAACACTGTAAAATCCTGGAACCTGTTAGCAATCCACTAACCGTACTTGGAGCACTAGAAGCCTCTTGGGATGAAGGCCACGGGAAACGGGAGATCTGCCAAGGTAAAGCCTCAGTCTAAAACAATGCCTGATCTAAAGAGTCAACCTGGCGGGAGGCACTTAAAGCCGAGGAAACTGTTTCGTGACACGCCTCCAGGCTTTGAAGCCCTTGTTTCTTTTTCTTTCAATCTGGCTGACCTTCGCAGACTCTGCGATTCACCCCTGTTTTGCCAAATCTGTCCTCTTCTATCCTCATTAAGGATCCCAGGTGTTAGCTTCTCTGGAGAGCTATCACCGCTTGGCTCTGAAACATTCTCAGGAGAATGTGTACTTTCGCTTTCCAAGCCTTCCAAGCCTGCAGGAGTTTCTTCTACACTGACCTCAGAATCAACATTTCCATTAGCATCAGAAAAGACATTTTCATTAGCATCAGTAGCATCAGGAAATACAATCAGAGAATGAGGTTCAGGTTGAGACCCAGGCTGAACCCCAACAGATAGAGCCAGTTAGGAAATAATGACATTGAGAACCCAAGAACAAAAAAATGTGTTTACATCGTGTTACGGGATTCAGCTTGGTTCAAATCCGGGGACAGTGCAGATGAGCTCCTATCTGTCAGCTCCAGCTCCCCACGCAGGGACATGAGAAGCCTCCCACAAGAGTGGTGACGCATCCAGGCAATGTCTCCTGGGCAACGTCCTTGCAGACAGCTAGCTCTCTCACACCAGAAGTGACTTGCAGTTTCTCAAGTTGCTCCTGACATGGAGAAAAAAGTCGTATTTCTTGCCTTTTAGCCAATACTAGATGTCTTGTCGAAGGCTTTCTTGGCCAGAATCACTGGGTGTTGTATATGGCCATGTTCCAGATGCATTCTCTCCTGACGTTTCGCCTGCATTTATGGCAAGCATCCTCAGAGGTAGTGAGGTCTGTTGGAACTAGGAAAATGGGTTTATATATCTGTGGAATGACCAGGGTGGGACAAAGGACTCTTGTCTGCTGGAGCTAGGTGTGAATGTTTCAACTGACCACCTTGATTAGCATATAATGGCCCGACAGTGCCTGGAGCAATCTTTTGTTGAGAGATGATTAGATGTCCTTGTTTGTGCCTGATTGTTTCCTCTCTGTTGTTGTGCTGTTCTAATTTTAGAGTTTTTTTAGCCAGATTTTGTTCATTTTCATGATTTCCTCCTTTCTGTTGAAATTGTCCACATGCTTGTGGACAATTTCACCTCTCAACAAAATTACCTCTCAACAAAAGATTCCCCCAGGCACTGCCAAGCCATCAAATGCTAATCAAGGTGGTCAGTTGAAACATTCAGACATCGCTCCAGCAGACAAGAGTCCTTGGTCATTCCACAGATATATAAACCCATTGTCCTAGTTCCAACAGACCTCACTACCTCTGAGGATGCTTGCCATAGATGCAGGCGAAACGTCAGGAGAGAATGCCTCTAGACCATGGCCATATCGCCCCAAAAAACCTACAACATCCCAATACTAGATGGCTTGCGATATGGTTGAAAGACATTATACAAAAAAACTCCTGATGATAAAATGTTAAAATAAGGTGAATTAAGTTAACATTGGTTTTAATGGCCTTCAATGTGTTTGTGACTCCTAGTGTGGCCCTCAGGTGAGCCTGTGACAACAACGTCCAGGGGCTGAGAGAATGTGGCCCACTCAGGATCTCCCAATGGGATTTCATGGCTGGTGGGGGGCTGAACCAGGGCCCAGGGACCCCAAAGGAGTGCGGGAGGGTCTGGCCTTGGGGGTGACCTTGGGGTCAAGGGGTGGCTGACCCTCCCTCCCTCCCTCGCTCGCTCGCTGCAGGCTGACGGGGCTGCGCAAGTTCTACAACCTGTCCTACCTGTGGTACAGCGCACACAACTCCACCACCGTCATCGTCGTGGGGCTCCTGGTCAGCCTCATCACAGGTCAGTCGGGCATCTCAAGGGCCCTCCCACAAGGCCCCCTGGATCCGTGTCCTTTGGGGGAAGGAGAGGGGGGAAAGGGAGCCCGCTTTGCTCAGGCCACATCCATCTTGCATTTGGACAGGCCTGGGCAGACTTAAGCCCTCCCTCTGGATGTTTTGGACTCCAACTCCCACCATTCCTAACCCCCTCAGGCCCTTTCCCTTTTCTCTTCAGCTGCCTAAGCAGAAAGGAATGGGAAAAGGAAAGGACCTGAGGTGGTTAGGAATAATGGGAGCTGGAGTCCAAAACACCTGGAGGGAAGGAGGGAGAGAGGGCCCAAGTTGGCCCAGGCCTCCATTCGAGCCCGGGAGGAAAATGGGTTGCTGTGAATTTTCCAGGCTGTATAGCTAATGTGTTCCAGCAGCATTCTCCCCTGACATTTCGCCTGCATCTATGGCTAATGCAGTGTTTCTCAACCTGGGGGTCAGGACCCATGAGGGGGTCGCAAGGCGGTGTCAGAGGGGTTGCCAAAGACTATCAGAAAACAGTATTTTCTGTTGTTCATGGGGGTTCTATGTGGGAAGTTTGGCCCAATTCTGTCGTTGGTGGGCTTCAGAATGCTCTCTGGTTGTAGGTGAACTATAAATCCCAGGAACTACAACTCCCAAATGTCAAGGTCTATTTCCCCCAAACTCCACCAGTGTTCATATTTGGGCATATTGAGTATTCGTGCCAAGTTTGGTCGAGATTCATCATTGTTTGAGTCCACAGTGCTCTCAGGATGTAGGTGAACTACAACTCCAAAACTCAAGGTCAATGCCCACCAAACTGTTGGTCATGGTGGTTCTGTGTGCCACGTTTCATTCAATTCCATCATTGGTGGAGTTCAGAATGCTCTTTGATTCTAGCTGAACTATAAATCCCAGCAACTACAACTCCCAAATGAGAAAATCAATGCCTCCCCTGCCCTCCCCAACCCCACCAGTATTCAAATTTGGGCGTATTGGGTATTTATGTCAAATTTGGTCCAGTGAATGAAAATACATCCTGCATATCAGATATTTACATGATGATTCGTTAGAGGAAGTAGCAATGGAAATAACTTTATGGTTGGGGGCCACCACACCATGAGGAACTGTACTAAGGGGTTATGGCATTCGGAAGGTTGAGAAACACTGGGCTAAGTTCTGTGGGCAGTGAAGCAAGTGGAGCGTGTGTGTGTGTATACCTAGTAAATAAATAAAAAAGCAACATACACAGAGAGGCAACGATTCAGTGCCTTCAATGCAGCGGGATGACAATGGCACACAAACACACAGAACACAGGTAGAGGCTTCCCCTTTCATCTCCGGCGTTCTGGAGGCGGTGCTCAACTCTGGCCATGGGGAGGCGCTCTTGCTCCATTTCCAACCCATGGAGCCTGTTGTCTGTGGGCACCTCCTGGTTGGGTTGCCAGCATGGCTGCACGGGCACCATCGTTACCTAGTCCACCTGTGTGGGGCTGACCCCCTTCCCACTCCTTTTCTAATCAGCAGTTCTCAACCTGGGAGTCGCGACCCCCAGGGGAGTCGTAGGGTCACTTTCGGGGGGTCACGAAGCTCCCTTGATTGGCCCTGCCCCCACCAAAATAGCTGGGCAAGGGAGGACTGCCCGCCCCCCCCCCCCACGTTTCTGAGTGTGGAGCCTTTCTGCCCACCCACCCCCCCACGCACCCTTTGATGGCAGGGGAGCTATACACCCCAGTAGCTCCCAAATGCCAAGGTCTGTTTCCCCCAAACTCCACCAGTGTTCACATTGGGGCCTATTGAGTATCCGTGTCAAGTTTGGTCCAGATCCATCATTGTTTGAGTCTGCAATGCTCTCTGGATGCAGGTGAACTACAACTCCAAAACTCAAGGTCCGTGTTCACCAAACCCTTCCAGTATTTCCCGTTGGTTGTGGGAGTTCTGTGTGCCAACCAATTCCATCCTTGGTGGAGTTCAGAATGCTCTTTGATTGTAGGTGAACTATAAATCCCAGCAACTTCAACTCCCAAATGACATAATCAATTCTCCCTCCTATTTATTTATTTATTTATTTATTTGCAGCTTTTCTCTTCCGCCCTTCTCCTCACCCCACAGCAGGGGACTCAGGGCGGATTACATTGTACACACACATATGGCAAACATTCCATGCCAATTTGACATACAACATATACAGACATACACAGAGGCTATTTAACTTTTTCTGGCCGCCAGGGGAGCTGTCACTTTCCTCGTCCATCTGCGATGATGAAGCACTTCCGCATTCCCCGCATGCTTCCCCGCTGATGAAGCACTTCCGCATTCCCCGCATGCTTCCCCGCTGATGAAGCACTTCCGCATTCCCCACATGCTTCCCCGCTGATGAAGCACTTCCGCATTCCCCGCATGCTTCCCCGCTGATGAAGCACTTCCGCATTCCCCACATGCTTCCCCGCTGATGAAGCACTTCCGCATTCCCCACATGCTTCCCCGCTGATGAAGCACTTCCGCATTCCCCACATGCTTCCCCGCTGATGAAGCACTTCCGCATTCCCCGCATGCTTCCCCGCTGATGAAGCACTTCCGCATTCCCCGCATGCTTCCCCGCTGATGAAGCACTTCCGCATTCCCCGCATGCTTCCCCGCTGATGAAGCACTTCCGCATTCCCCGCATGCTTCCCCGCTGATGAAGCACTTCCGCATTCCCCGCATGCTTCCCCGCTGATGAAGCACTTCCGCATTCCCCGCATGCTTCCCCGCTGATGAAGCACTTCCGCATTCCCCGCATGCTTCCCCGCTGACGAAGCACTTCCGCATTCCCCGCATGCTTCCCCGCTGATGAAGCACTTCCGCATTCCCCGCATGCTTCCCCGCTGATGAAGCACTTCCGCATTCCCCGCATGCTTCCCCGCTGATGAAGCACTTCCGCATTCCCTGCATGCTTCCCCGCTGATGAAGCACTTCCGCATTCCCCGCGTGCTTCCCCGCTGATGAAGCACTTCCGCATTCCCCACATGCTTCCCCGCTGATGAAGCACTTCCGCATTTCCCACATGCTTCCCCGCTGGAATGCTTTGCTGGAGTCTTCTTTATGACCTCATAAATTAGTTAATTTAGCCTCCCCACACTTTAAGGTGGTACCTAATTTTCCTATTTGACAGATGCAACTGATCCAAGCCCACCAGTGTTCAAATTTGGGCATATTGGGTAAGGTAAGGTAAAAGTTTTCCCCTGATGTTAAGTCCAACGCTGGGAGTTGGTGCTCAGTTTCTAGGCCAAAGAGCCGGTGTTGTCCATAGACACCTCCAAGGTCATGTGGCTGACATGATGGCATGGAGCGCCGTTGCTGGGTATTTGTGCCAAATTTGGTCCAGGGAGTGAAAATCCATCCTTCATTTCAGATATTTACATTATGATTCATAACAGTAACACAATTACAATCAGGAAGTAGCAATAATAATAATTTTGTGGTTGGGGGTCACCACTACGTGAGGCCCTGCATTAGGAAGGTTGGGAACCACTGTCCTAACCCACCTTGCTCTCTCCCTCCCCCCCTCCCTCAATGGCCAGGCCCCATGCGGGGGGAGGACGTCAACCCGCGGACCATCTTCCCCGTCCTGCCGCGGCTGCTCTGCTGCCTCCCAAAGAAGTACCGCCAGAAGCTGCGCTGCGGAGTCCCCGACCCGGCCGAGGTGAGGAGGGGGCGGCACGAGGGGGGAGCCAGGGACCCATAGGGAAAGGGTCTCCCAAGGAAGAGGGAGGGGGCTTCTTTGCCATTGGAAATCGCATAGCCTATGGGAAATCAGCGCACTGTAACCTTATCGAAATATGGATCTCCGTGAACATGTGGAGACCGCCTTTTGAACACCACTAGTCAAGAAAAGCATGGCCTTGTTAGAAGTCAACCCTTGGATCAAGCGAGAGTCATAAGCATTGATGTAATGGCACACAGGTAACTCAGCTGTTAGACTGAAAGACCACGTCTTTAAACTACCAGGGACAAAGGCATGCCAATGCATAAAAATATATTGAGTTAGCAGAGGAGGGTTGTTTCTTTGAAGTTGCAGTTGCCCAGAAACATGCGCCCAAGAGACAAAACAAAGGGGTCTTCTTTGAAAAATAACACCTCAGGTTCACGAACAAACTTTTTGTATGTGCGAGGGTTGAATGAAAAGTAATGCCTCCACCTTCGTAACTCCTCAACAGATCGCAGTACTGGGATGCGGCAGGTACTGGCTTGTTCAGTCGACTCTCCTCTACAGTTCCATTTTGGCAGGAAGCCTTAGCATCGAATGGTTGTGTTGTTAAAGTGAAAAGTAATGCCTCCACCTTTGTAACTCCTCAACAGATGGCAGTACTGGGTTGCGGCATGTACTGGCTTGTTCAGTAGACTCTCCTCTACAGTTCTATTTGGGAGGGAAGCCTTAGCATTGAATGGTTGTGTTGTTAAAGTGAAAAGTAATCCCCCCACCTTCGTAACTCCTCAACAGATGGCAGTACTGGGATGCAGCAGGTACTGGCTTGTTCGGTCGACTCTCCTCTACAGTTCCATTTGGGAGGGAAGCCTTAGCATTGAATGGTTGTGTTGTTAAAGTGCGACATATGGAACCCTGCGCAGACGGTCAGTCAATGCGGCTTAAGCAACATATGTGGCAGGTACTGGCTTGTTCAGTAGACTCTCCTCTGCAGTTCCATTTGGGAGGGAAGCCTTAGCATTGAACGGTTGTGTTGTATGGAAGCCTACGCAGACGGTCAGTCAATGCGACTTAAGCAATGTATGTGGCAGGTACTGGCTTCTTCATTTGCATGTTTTTGAAAACTGCTAGGTTGGCAGGAGCTAGGGCTAACAGTGGGAACTCATCCTGTCCTACGGATTCAAACTGCCGACCTTGAGGTCAGCAGTTCAGCAGCACAAGGGTTCAACCCATTGCACCACTGTGACCCCAAAGGCAACTTTTTGGGAGCGAAGGAAGGAGAGCAGATGCCCTCTGGGGTGCCCTTGGTGCCCCCTCCTTGCAGTGGGGTGGGCGGGACACTGTCCAAGAACTTCTGTATTTTTGGTGTCCTTTGTGGGGCAAGGCCCGGCGCCAAGGATATCATCCTGAGCTTTGAGAATAATACAAAACAATGGGGTGTGTTTTGAAATAACAGGGAACGCCTTGCCCGGCTAGTTGGGGTCGGGAGGCACGTTGGAGAGCTTTGCGGGAAAGCGGAGAGAGTTCATAGAATCATAGAATCCTAGAATCCTAGAGTTGGGAGAGACCTCCTGGGCCATCATCCAGTCCAACCCCATTCTGCCAAGAAGCAGGAATATTGCATTCAAAGCACCCCTGACAGATGGCCATCCAGCCTCTGCTTAAAAGCCTCCAAAGAAGGAGCCTCCACCACACTCCCTCCGGGGCAGAGAGTTCCACTGCTGAACGGCTCTCACAGTCAGGAAGTTCTTCCTCATGTTCAGATGGAATCTCCTCTCTTGTAGTTTGAAGCCATTGTTCCATTGCGTCCTAGTCTCCAAGGAAGCAGAAAACAAGCTTGCTCCCTCCTCCTCCCTGTGGCTTCCTCTCACATATTTATACATGGCTCTCATCATATCTCCTCTCAGCCTTCTCTTCTTCAGGCTAAACATGCCCAGCTCCTTAAGCCGCTCCTCATAGGGCTTGTTCTCCAGACCCTTGATCTGCTCCCTCCTCCCTGTGGCTTCCTCTCACATATTTATACATGCTCTCATCATATCTCCTCTCAGCCTTCTCTTCTTCAGGCTAAACATGCCCAGCTCCTTAAGCCGCTCCTCATAGGGCTTGTTCTCCAGACCCTTGATCTGCTTCCTTCCTCCCTGTGGCTTCCTCTCACATATTTATACATGGCTATCGTATCTCCTCTCAGCCTTCTCTTCTTCAGGCTAAACATGCCCAGCTCCTTAAGCCGCTCCTCATAGGGCTTGTTCTCCAGACCCTTGATCATTTTAGTCGCTCCTCCTCTGGACACATTCCAGCTTGTCAATATCTCTCTTGAATTGTGGTGCCCAGAATTGGACACAATATTCCAGGTAAAGTGGTCTAACCAAAGCGGAATAGAGCATAGGGAGCATTACTTCCTTAGATCTAGACACTATGCTCCTCTTGATGCAGGCCAAAATCCCATTGGCTTTTTTTGCCGCCACATCACATTGTTGGCTCATGTTCCCCTTCCTCCCCACGAGGACTCCAAGATCTTTTTCACACGTCCTGCTCTCGAGCCAGGCCTCATCGTCCCCCATTCTGTCTCTTTGCATTTCGTTTTTTCTGCCAAAGTGGAGTCTCTTGCATTTGTCCCTGTTGAACTTCATTTTGTTAGTTTTGGTTCATGTTTCCACTTGGCCGTTGGTGTGCCTCTGGCCGCAGGTCCCCTTTCCCCCAGAAAGGAAGGCCAGGCTCATCTGCTGGCAGAACAACATGCAAATGCAACGGAGCCGAAGGGTGTCAAAGGTCAGCATGGCACCCTCCGCGGCAATCGGAATGAAAAGGCTGTCAATGAGTGCCAGCTGGGCCGCGATCGAGGGCACGGGCGGGCGCCGTTTCTGATGAGCCATCGCTTCGTATATGACTCAGGATTGCCATATAATTGGACCTTTGAGCAAATGATTAAAAATAGTCAGAAGAGTCCTTTAGAAACGCACGCTCTGAAAATATCCAGAGAGGACACATCATTGCGCGGGAGTGGTGTGCCGTGTGCAGCCCTGCAATGGAAAGCAGTGTAATAAATAATCATCTTTGTTTAGCCATGTTCTAGAGCAGGGGTCCGAAAAACTAAAGCCTTCCAAGGTCATTTCCCCGGCCGTCACTCAGGGTCAACCTAAGTCTGAGATGACTTGGCCTGCATCAAGAGGAGCCTAGTGTCTAGATGCAGGGAAGTCATGCTCCCCATGCTCTTATCCCGCTCTGCTTAGACCACTTTACCTGGAATATTGTGTCCAATTCTGGGCACCACAATTCAAGAGAGATATTGACTCTAAGCTGGAATGTGTCCAGAGGAGGGCGACTAAAATGATCAAGGGTCTGGAGAACAAGCCCTATGAGGAGTGGCTTAAGGAGCTGTGCATGTTTAGCCTGAAGAAGAGAAGGCTGAGAGGAGATATGATAGCCATGTATAAATATGTGAGAGGAAGCCACAGGGAGGAGGAGGGAGCAAGCTTGTTTTCTGCTTCCTTGGAGACTAGGACGCAATGGAGCAATGGCTTCAAACTACAAGAGAGGAGATTCCATCTGAACATGAGGAAGAACTTCCTGACTGTGAGAGCCGTTCAGCAGTGGAACTCTCTGCCCCGGAGTGTGGTGGAGGCTCCTTCTTTGGAGGCTTTTAAACAGGGGCTGGATGGCCATCTGTCAGGGGTGATTTGAATGCAATATTCCTGCTTCTTG